ATACAAAGATAATACAGTAGTCCTTTGTTACGTTCCAGTTCCTCTAATGTAGCGTTATCCAGACAGCCTTCTTCATTTAATGAAAATAAGATATTTAGGATTTATCACTTCCTGGATTTTTACATGCTCCACAATACAATGCAAGAAGTGATTTTATCACTTCCCGATGTGTACAATTGTAGCATTCCTCAATTTCTGAGACCCACTTAAGACGATGAGACCATTTACTTGGGACTGGGAGTCACAACGGAGAAAAATCACTTTTCCAGCACAGGGAACATTTTCTGACCAGGGAACATTCCTATGAAACCTTTCTCGGCCAAAGTGGCAGAAAGCCCCGAAGCTGCTACCTTCCGACACACCCTACTCCCAGACGCACAAAACGCGGGTGGAACTACAGGCCAGACACTCACAGACCCCGTCCAAAGCCTGCAGCTTGACGCTGCCTGCTGCGTGTGGTTCCCAGGGGAGGAGCTCGGGGGGCCCCTCTTCCTCGGGGGTGCAGGCCACCTCTGCAGGCTCGCTGCAAAACAAACATGGAGTACTATTTGCCCTTTTGGCCTTTTCTCAGATGTCCCTCAGTTAGCAAAAACAGGCACTAACGTAGGGACCAGGAAGGATGAGGCAGGGTTGCAGGTGCAAAGCAAACTTTGGAAAAGCAGGGGCGTCTGTTAACCACTAGACTTAATGAGTCTATTTATTTTGCCATCAGCCCAGGTCCCTTTCTGTCTTCAGCAACCCGCTAGCAAAGTTCAGCTTACAATGGTTCAGGCCCTTCTCTTTCTTCTGTGGCTCCTGGTGTTCTGTCATCTCTTTTGGCTTGACTTGCAAAATTCTGCAAACCAGGTAGGACTCCAGAGTCCCCCGACTGGCCGACGCTTGCAGGCAAATGCTCTGGGCAGCTCCTTCGCTGCATTTGCATTTCAGTATGCTCAGTGCTTTTTAGTTACACAGTGTGTGACTTCATTTAATCTTTACAATAACTTGGTGAGGGCGGCATTATTTTTGCCTTCAATTTACAGTTGAGAAAACCAAGTTAAGGGAGGTTTCCAAGTAGTAAATGACAGAAAAAAAAAAAGATCTGAATGGAAATCTCTTAATTCCTTATTCATTTATGAAACTAATGCCGTTTTTCTGTACTGCAGCTGTCCTGGCCATTTTACCTCGGTGCCATTTCCCAAATACACATTTTGCAAGAGTGTTTGTAATGGCAATGTAACTTGTGCACGTTATAAGCTCAGGCGAAAAATATAGAAAACAATGCACAGTTTTAAATCATCCATAATCTTCCTACTCAAAGATAATCACGGTTATTGTTTTGGTGTGTTCCTTTCTAAATATTTTTCTGTGCACTCCTCTGAGTCTATTTCTTTTAACATTGTATTTGTATTTAGAGTTTTGTGTCACATTCCATTTTTATTATTTTCAGTGAAGTGAGGTGGCATTCTAGCCTTATTCTACTGAAAATTTTACAGCATTGCCTTTTGGTGGTTTACTTTTTCTATTTGTATTTAAATACAAATGAAGAATCAGTTAACAGTTTTTTCAGGATTAGAGCTGTGCTTCTGAAAATGCAGTCAGACCAGCAGGGCCAGCATCACCGAGGAACTTGCTAGAACCGCAGGCTCTCCGCCGAGTCAGGATCTCTGGGTGAGGCGGGAACCCCTGCCTTCACAAGCACACCAGGGTTGGGCGAGTTTCACACATGGCCAAGTTTGACCAAAATGCATCATTTTCCATCTGTGTTGGTAAAGCAACAACAGCTATAGACCTGTCCTAGGTTAAAGGCAAGAAGAGTATTTGTCACTGAGGAAAAAGAGAAGAGCTGTGGCTCACCCAAACTTCCCTCATCCCCGTGCCTTCCACAGTTGCTCTTTGTTACCTGGGTTCAGGTGTGTAGTCCTCTTTCAAATGCTTACGTGCTTCCCTAGAAACGCAGTAGTGACCTACGTACACTTCCTGCCCCCTAAGATGTGCTTTGTATACGGTGGAGCAAAGATAGGTTTACAGTTGTGAGTACACAAAGCACAGTTAATTCTTGTATGACTATTGATTAATTATGTATTATTTCCCATACAAATTGCTGTAACCCTACTTTTGTCCTACCTTGTAGCCATAGGCTTCTCCTGCTTAGCCAACTAAGCATTTGTCAAAGTCAGACTAGGATGAAGAATAGGTACATGGTTAGTTCTGAGAGCTTTTCTTAAACTTTTACCAGGTTACAATATATGGAGTAGAGAAGAAAAATATATTTTCTAGACCCGCCCTTCAAGATCATCCATAGTCTTGTTAGGAAATAAAGTTTAGGTATATGAAATTCAATGAACAGTTAACCAAGCCCTAAACTGATTATAATCAAGTATTATAGAACCCAAGATGAGCGATGACAGGTCTGAACTGTACAGAAGGACATACTGACTATTGGGGCGGGGGGGGGCGGGGCGGGGCGCGGGATCTCCTTAAGAAAGGAGAATGTGAGTAGAACATAAATAATAATTATTACATTGATCATGAAAATCCCACTCATTGAATATTTACCACGGCCAGACATGATTTTAAGCAACTGGTGTTGATTTCTTCCTCCAAATCGCAACACACCATTAAATATGCCTATGATACCCATTCTCCTGACAAGGCTACATAAGGTCAGGAAGCTTTGCCAATGTTATGTGAGCGGCGCTTGGTGGAGTCACAATTCCAACCCACGCCTGTTTGACCGCGGAGCCCCTTCTCTTACCGCTTCTGCCCCAGCCGCTGACTGTGCTCATGACGGCTGCTAGATGAAGCGAGGCTGGTCGCACGCTGCAGGTGAAGGGAGCCCGGAGTGGCGAGCAGCCTCCTGTGCCCGGTTCACCCGACCGGGGGGCAAGGCTGGCATTGGCGGGTGGCTAAACCAGGGAAAATCAATGGGATTATGGGAAGCCTTACATGCAGAGAGCGTGGTCTGGGACATAACATCATAGATACTGAAGAACCATCACACATTCTTTGAACACTGTGGAAGTAATGTTTTAAGGCTAGAATAACATTGGATAAAAAAGCATAATTCGGTGGGTTGGGTAGGACAATGGATTAATAGGGCGACTGTTGTAAACCAGATACCAGACGATAAGGAAAATGCCTGGGGTGTTGGTAGAGGAAAAGCTGCCAATTATTAAATAGCAGAGAAGAAATGTGAAAGGCTTAATGGCAGTCTGGCCAAAGAGACTTTAGAATTTGAACCCAGTATTGGGGATGACTTTGAGCTGTACAAAGACATCGCCATGAGCTGGAGAGAGGTAGTAAAGATGAATAACTGATGTGCTATTTTCAGAGGTGGCGGGTGTGGAGCATTCAGAGCTCCTTTCTCCCTAACTGCACTCACCTGATCTCCGTGTCCTGTTGCTCTTAGACACACGTGAATCGGGCGCGTCTGCTTTATGCTTTCCCCTAGTCTCGCATGGAGCTGGCCACCCTTCAGCGGCCGATGGCGGTAGCAGCCGAAATGCTCTCATTGCCTTCTGAGTTGCTTCCCTAGAATCTAGTGTTTGGCCACCAGGAGTTTTTCTTCCTAAAGCCTACATACGATTGTCCCTCTTCCTGTGTCACGTTGTAAAATACTTCCTCACTGCCTTTCACTCGGTATGGTATGCAGGATATGAGTAACCATAATTTAATATCCAAATAAGATGAGGAGGAGATTGACAGTGGACATATTAATCATTAGATGGGACGGAAGGGGTGTGGGTTCTGCTTACCTGCCCAGCCACATCCTCTTCCCATAGCAGTTCGTGAGGGAGCAGTGCTCAGAGCAAACCCTCCTCCAAAGCCCCGCCTCCATGCTGTTCACAGCTGCATTTGCAGTGCCTGACCCACTGCTCAGTACGTCCTGGGTGCCCAGTAACTATTTGCTGAAGCAAAGAAGGAAGGGAGGAGAGGAGGACCAAGTGAATCAAAACATTTCAGAATGGTCTGAGCCTAGTGTGTTGCGGTTGAAATGAAACAGACTCTGAGATCTAAGATCTTTGCAGAGAGGAAACCATGGGAAGCCGAAGAGAGGCCTGGGGAAGGTGGAGGAGGAAGGTGGGAAAGGTAGTCCCTAAACCCAATCTCCTCCTTCATAACGGAACAAACAACAAATGCTGGGGGTACGAGTATAGGTGCACGTTACGGAAGACTCCAGTGTGTGCATTTTCGAGAGAGAGAGATTTACCGAAATTCTTAGTTTTGTAAAGAGATCTTTCAAATTCCTCATAGCCATCAAACTGTTTTTCATAATAATAGTCTAGGAGTTCTCAGGAGAAAGGTGACATGTAAATGTCCATCTGGGACTTCTGAAAACGGGTGCAGTCTCCGAGAAGAGAAAAAGTGTCAAGAGTGTGGAAACAAAGAGGAAAACAATGGAAAAGAACCTAAAATTCAATTATATTGATACCAGCTTTCTACACAAACAAGATTTGCTGTAATGGAAGCACCTGTAACAAAGTGCAGCAGGGACATTTCTTTCCTTTTTTTCCTGAAGCAAAGGATGAATAGAAATCCCATGAAATTTATACACCTATGCAAAAAAGTGTGTGTGTGTGTGTGTGTGTGTGAGAGAGAGAGAGAGAGAGAGAGAGAGAGAGAGATCTTATTTGATAGTCAAGCAAAGCAGACATTTATCTTGCAAAATAACATCCCTCACAGTAAGAAGATATCTATAAATAACTATACATTAAATATTTTTCAATGATCGTGAGCCCCAATGCAACAAACATTAGATTTACTTCACAATGTATTGATTTCTCAAAGGCTTTCCTGTAACTCTAAAGCCATAGCAGGAACTTACTGTCTTTGTTAAGTCAGAAATGCTTATGGAGTAAAAACCAAATCATGCATTTATACGTAGAGAAAAAGAAGGCTCAATGCAACCAGAGGATCCCATCCTGTGCGGCAGTTTCCAGGCTCCAGTGTGCCCCTGGGGCGTTTGTCTGGGGAGCCACTTGTTCTGTGTGGTGCTCATGCCTGATGTTCCCTTCCAGCCATCTATGAGCCGTCCTGCGAGGCGTACAAACACCTGGGCCAGACGTCAAACTACTACTGGATAGACCCGGATGGCAGCGGACCGCTGGGGCCTCTGAAGGTGTACTGCAACATGACAGGTAAGCGGCCTTGTGTGCGTTTCGTGGGCGTTACTTTCCTGTGTGCTGAAAATAAGTGCTACTGCTGAAGTTTGTTTCTTCTGTGCCGTATTTTTATTACAACACACGATGCACTAAATACGGCTGGGTTGGTTAGGTAAAGGATGAAATGTATTCCTAAAGCAATTATACCTTCAGACACTGTATCTTTTTTTTTGCAATCTACCTTCTGACTATGATGATAAAAAATTAGCACTTAAAAAAAATCTGGGGTGGAGAGATACCCCCAAAAGAGAAACAGCAAGGTTGAACTGCCCCTGAAACAGCGTCTGCAGGCTCCCAGACTGGGGAAGCTCAGCGTCGACGTTCCACCCCCTCGCTGCCTGCATTGGAGGAAGCTCACAGAGCGTCCAGACCACTCTCTGTTCCCTGCGGTTATGGAAGGAACCCCACTGGGTGCTGACATCCCTTTATGGCAAAGGCACAGCTTACCCGCAGCTTTCATGAAATTCACCTGGGGTGCTCTGCCCAGGAAGAGAACCTAGTGTTTCTCTTGACCCGTATGGAATTCCAGGCCTGCGAAATGAGAGCGCGGGTTCTTGCAAGCCCCCAGAGCAGCGTGTGAGAAGTGCAGCTCCCTAAGAGCATATTTCTGGCTGACACTGGGCCACATCCCGCCCTCCAAAACCCCAGAGAGGAGGCAGAGGCGGGTGCTCCTCACTGGCTGCAGGCGGGTCGGCGTTTGACGTGAATGCCTGGGGAAGGCGATGATAAAGATAATGATGATGTGATGCTACTGACGGTGACAGCCACAAGGACTATTTGCCAGGATCAGGCTTCCTAGTAGGTCCTTCCGATTACCTGGGTTTGTGTCCTGGCTCTGTTAGTCACCAGACACATAATCTGGGCCACCTTATTAACTCTATGAAACTCAATATACCACAATATGTTTACCTATGAAATGAATTACTACTAATATCTACCTCATAGCATTACTACATGTTAGAAGTAAGATATCTACATAGGGTTCCTAGCATATTATCCAACACACAGTAAACTTTCAGTAACGGTTACCAGCAATAGGGTATTATTATTTTTTGAGGGATTAGTGAGCTAAACAACTTTCTTATGTCATTCAGGCATGACTCAAATTCAAATATGTTTGAGACCAGTGGTTCTTAAGCCTGGATGTGCTTCAGAATCATGTACGGAGCCTTTTCCCCCCTGTTTTCCATGCAATCTTATTGGCTCCAGCTCGGAGACTTTGACTCAGTAGGTGTGCCATGGACACAGGATTGTGCAGCCAGAACTGAGAACACTAAACAGAAACGTGGCCCCCGTGGGGGACGTTCAGCCATAGCAGGAAGCCAGGCTTCCTGGGACACAGGACAGAAGGGACAATGGTGAGGACATGAGTGTGGGCTGGAAGGCGTGCAGAGAAAACGGTGAAATGGCAGATATTGTCCCCAAAATCCTCTCCCATGCCAAGAACTGTAAGCGTGCCCCAGAGAAGGAATTCACAGACCAGAAACCATGATCTAAGTGTTGTTAGTTGGACTTGTCCATGGACTCAGGGACTTGCCTGTTCACCTTCATTTTAATCTTACTTTAACTAAAGTATGATCTCTGAGAACTTGATTCAATCTATAAGAAACTTGATTTGGTTTCTCTCTCTCTCTCTCTCTCTCTCTCTCTCTCTTTTTCTCTCTCTCTCATAGAGAGATAGAAATAGATAATACAGATATAGATGATATAGATATAGATATACATACATATATAAATTAAAGTCAACTATTAACCTCTGGGGAAACCAAGCCTCCTGATTGTGCTTGCACAGCTATGAATTTACTCTAGCTATTTGCCTACCTGCATTTCAAAAGAGAATTGGAAAACCAAACCAAACCATAATGAATACATTTTTTTATGTGAAGAACAGGTGAAATGAAGGGCTGTTTACTTTCTGGAGAGATGACCTTTCTGTACATTGAAGCCTTCACTGGGAAACACGGGTCTCCCCATCGCCAACAGCTCCCTTAGAGAGGGCGGCTATCATTTAACCCAGCCCTTGTGGTGCGGTCTGAGCAGTGAAGGAAACCGTACACCCTTCTACAGTGAGAATAGTTTTCTTCCAGATGGTTATGGACATCGGTGTATCAGAGTCCCTTGTAGGCCAGCAGGCCAAATTTGGCCTTTTGTCATCTATCAACCATTCCTTCATCTGGACAGAACGTGAACTTGACACCATTAGAAGAGCATGGCACCGCGGAGCTTAGCTCGGGCTGCTCCGTTTCGGAGAAATACCTGTTGAGGAAGAGCAGGGGATCGCAGCATGAGGTGGTCTGTGAAGACTTGGTGTAGCGCTCAATGTCATGAGAAATCGTGCATGCACCTTACTTTGCAGCATTTCTATTAAAGAATGGGGTTGCCCTACCCCTCAGGGACCCAGATGTGATTGGGTGTTCATCACGGTTGATTGCATCACCGATTTCCAAAGCGGAAGCAAGACATCCTCTCTGGGGAAGAAGCCGTGGCTCGGCCGGGGCCACTCTTTTTTTCCTTTTTCCTGTGAAGATGGGGCGGCATGCAGGAAAGCTGGTCACTGATACAGGCAGACAGAGTGGACATTTTAAGGAAAGGCACCTCACTGGCAGCTAATATCGGATGTAAATTTGGGTAGGAACTAAAAAGAACAGACTGTCGAAGCACATCTCTGGGCTTCGTCTTCCAGTTTTTTTCATTTGCACACTCGCTGTGTACCCGCCGCTGTGCTGTGTGAAGGGGTGGGTGTAGGGCGTGCCTGCGGGGTGCTCACAACTCATAACGAACACAGCGTTAAAAAGTACACAAATAAGTAACTTCTTTAGAAAGAAAAATAATGGAATTGCGAGGGGTGATTTATTTTGGAAAGAGGGTTTTAGGAAGGACCTCTCTGAGGCAGCCACCAACCATTTAGCCAAAACATATAGAGTGTACGAAGAGACAAAGCTCCTAAAAAGAAGAGGAAAATAAAAAGGGAGCCCCAAGGCCTCAAAGAGATGGTTTCTTTGCAAGGAAATGCACCCCACGAGACTGAGAACGAAGTAGGGACGCAGGCAGGGGCCGGCGCAGCCCAGGCGGTGAGGATAATAGTGCGGAAAAAAGTTGGGGTTTTAGTTTTTCAGTTCTTTTTTCAAGGCAGTGGGTGGGAGTCTGTGGAGAGGCTTTAAGCGCGCGAGTGGAAGGGCCTCAGTTAGGGGCCCCGCCGGGGGTGCTGGCGGAGCTGCTGTCACGGTCCAGGGAAGAGGGCACTAGTTTACAGGATGAGAGAGAGATGGATTTCAGACCCTGTTTGAAGGCAGTACCGTCAGCGTTGGTGGCCGACTCGATTAGCAGGGTTAAAGGCAGTTCTCAAAAATAACTCCTGAAGAGGAGGGATCGGAGGACTAGGTGCGATGCGGAAAATTAAGGGAAGAGCCAGTGTAGAGGAATCTGAAGAATTTCGGCTTTGACCTAGTTCGTTATAAGATGCCAGAGGCCATCCGAATTGAGGCGCAAATTTTGCAGGGAGATAAACCCCGCAAAGGATGTTTGGATTACAGATATGAATGTGCTAACTGGTCATATATAAATAGGTGAGAAATGATAACTTAAGGGATGCTGTGTACAGGGAAGAGGCAGGTCAGGGACCAGCTTGTCGGAACGGAAGAGAGAGCAGGTCTCTGGGGATGAAATAGCCTGTCGGTGTGTAGGGGAACGTAACCGAGAGCAAGCGGGAGAGAAGTGTCTAAGACCATTTTGCGGAAGAACGGGTCATCCGTGTGGATGATGAAGGGACCTCTGGGGTCCCAGGGGAGGGTGAAAAGACTAGGAGGAGGGGACTGACTGAATCAATGCAAACGTATCTAATGTGCAGAGAGCACGACCAGTCACAGCCAGCGGCGTGCAGGGCATGGGCCGGGGCCACAAGTGACGAACCTCCCGAAGCCCCTGTGCAGACAACTTCGGGGACCCCGGGATGGGCGGTTAATCTCAGCTCAGGGACCCGTAAAACCTGCCACCAACCAGCTGACCTGTGAGTTGAGTCTTAAAGAACAAGTGGCTACTATGGGGCCAAAAATGAAGAGGAGGGAACTTACAAAATGCTTTACGTGGGAGGCAAAACGCTTGACACCTGATCCTGAGGGAAAAGCAAGTGATTGATGATGTTGTAAAAATAAGGTGTGGCTTCGGCCACTGAGAACAGGATCCTCCAGAGAAGACCCGGACCTGAAGGAGGAGCGGAAACTGAGCTTGGAGATGGGGCCGCCGCGAAAGGAGAGGGTCGGCTTGACGGAGCTTCAGGAAGCCGAGCGGGCCAGGCCATGGCGGGGGAGTCGGGGCTGGGATGGTCACGGGGCTTCTGCCCTGGATGGCCCCACGGCGTGGGGCCGACGCGCAGGAAGGGACAGCAGCCTCTCTGTGGCCTTCAGTGGCTGGGATTCTGCCTGGGGAAGCAGCGCTGTGGGCAGATTCTGTACAAATTCCCTGCAGGAGTTGGAGCGCCTCAATTAATCTCTCTGTCTCAGTCCCCTCGTAAGTAAAATGTAGGAATTGGAATGAGTTGGTCTTTACACTGCCTTCCTTTAAAAAAAGAAAGAAAAAAATCTATTTTTACCACGAGCATGAAAGATAACTATTGCTACTTGCGGTCAAATAATTTAGAGCTGACATCCTCTTTCCCCAAAGAAGTTTGAATATACTCATTTCTTGACCAAGTTTGACACGAACTGGCAGTCTTTATTTTTTTTCATAAGGCAGTTCCTCTGCTGTGCAATCCTTCTTTTGACTCTCTGCCGTGCAGAGCTACCGCTCTCAATTCAGGGGCCGCGCTGAGTGACAGAGCCTTTCAAGGGCTGTGGAGTTGACAGTGAGGAGAGAATTATTCATCGAATCCTTTACGGAAGGATTCATCATTCTGAGCAAGTCAAAGCCTGGTTTCCTTTTTTGAGCTCAGGGGCGCATTATAAAGTGTGAATGTCATTATTTTCCCCTTCCTTTTCCAT